GGGGATGGTCAGCATCAACTTATTTAATTTAATAAAAGAAGCGGAATAGATATGGAGTAATATTATAATGATATTATGCAGCTTAAATGGTTAGTTCACCCAAAAATTTAAATTATGTCATTAATGACTCACCTTAATGTCGTTCCAAGCCCGTAAGACCTCCGTTCATCTTCGGAACACAGTTTAAGATATTTTAGATTTAGTCCGAGAGCTTTCTGTCCCTCATTTGAAAATGTCTGCACGGTATACTGTCCTTGTCCAGAAAGGAAATAAAGACATCATCAAAGTAGTCCATGTGACATCAGTGGGTTAGTTAGAATGTTTTGAAGCATCGAAAATACATTTTGGTCCAAAAATAACAAAAACTACGACTTAATTCAGCATTGTATTGTCTTCCGGTTCTGTTGTCAATCCGCGTTCAGTGACACTGCTGATGTAAGACGCTGCTGACGTGTTATCTGGTGCGTCCGTGTATTCGGGTTCAAATAAATATGGCTGGGCAAAAAAAATGCAAGTCTTCCTCTGTGTCGAAATCCTTAGACATGTTTGCGAAGATTTTGTTTACAGCGTGCGTCTCCCTCAGACTGTAAACAAAGCTCGGGCGCACTGATAACATGTCAGCTAGGGCTGTCGCGATAACCACAATATTGCGGTACCGCGCTACTGACAGGCCAACCGCAGAGGAATGCAAGTAACTGCAGCAACCGCCGAACCGCATTTTCTTTTTTTCATAAGGCTACCCTTCGTAGTTCGTACCATGTGTATTGAATGTTAAATAAGTTAATAATGATAACAAGACTGTTTATCATGGTGATTTGTAGAGGCTTCGTGGATTTGGACTTAAGCCTAAACAGACAGTGAATGAGATCGCCTGAGCGCGTGCGATTACCTGCGTCTGTCTTTGAAGTCAAATCATGTATATTCGTGAAAAGGTTGCCGTTTCCAAGGAAAGCGAAATATTTGTCGTATCATCCTTTTAACGTGTAAGGTTAGGCTATTTACCATGAATGGCGTCAGCGCTGGTAAGCATTACACAGCGCGAGGAAGCCGTGGGGGGAAAGCAGCGAGTCACGCATTGGTCTCTATTAAGCGAAGCATTGCTTCAGCTTTGCCCAAAAGTGAAGCATTGCTGGCCAGCTGAGCCTTGAAAAGTGGAGCTCAAAGTTAAAAAAAATAATTAACGCCTTGTTTCATTACATCTAAGGAATCAGCTTTTGAGCGTTTTCGTTGAATGAACGGTTTAATGACTCACCTCAAAGACAGTCCGTTGGCATAACAATGTAACTGCGCGCTGAGTGACAGTCTTTCAATGCGCAGAGACGCTGTTTAGTTTCGGTTACATTGGTTACATTGTTTTTGTGTATGCTGACCACATCATAATACGTATTTAAAGCAACAAATAAATATAAATAAATAAATGGCGGTAATACCGCATATCGCGCTATTGAGCCACTCAAAATTACCGCAAGGGAAATTTCTTCACCGCGACAGCCCTAACGTCAGCACCGTCTTACGTCAGCAGTGTCACTGAACGCGGATCCACAGCAGAACCGGAAGACAATACAATGCTGAATAAAGTCATAGTTTTTGTTATTTTTGGACCAAAATGTATTTTCGATGCTTCAAAAAAATCTAACTAACCCACTGATGTCACATGGACTATTTTGATGTCTTTATTTCCTTTCTGGACAAGGACAGTATACCGTACATACATTTTCAATGGAGGGACAGAAAGCTCTCGGACTAAATCAGACATTTTTGGGTGAACTAACCCTTTAATAAATATAGTGTCTTTGCAAATCGCCCATCTTGTAACGGGTATTTAAAAGGCCTATAATTGAAATTTGATGTGGTGTCGTTGCGTTATTTGGACATGACGTGTGCAGCTCGTATTATTAAGCCCAAATAATACTTCATTTTGACATGATTACTAGCGTATGCGTACAGCCAAACACAGCCTTTCAAATGATACTTCATATACAACCCATGGCTTCCTTCCTGATCCTTCGATGACACTTTTACTGATTAGAAGGTTAAATGTTCTAAATTAGGGTTAGGTGTACGGGAGGGACAGGGACTAGTAATGTCCCAATAAGGCAGTATCCATTTATTAATTTAATAAATATAATCATATACAATGAATGTTATTGCATGCTGTTTTGCAGAGTACTACAATACAATGAGATGCAAATAGATAGTATTTAAGCAATAGTATTTATTGCAATGTTTTTTATGGTAATTTGAATTGTCTTTACTTTTTTTTTTCTCAGCAAACAACCTGATGAATGTTATTTTTGGAGGACAACTGGCTGCTTAAAGAATGATCGCTGCACTTACAAGCATATTCCAGAAAACAAGGGCATTGAGCGACATAATGCCAAATCACACCCCTGATTCACAGCACACTGACAGAGGGATTTAAGCATCTCAAGATCAGTGTAATTAGTTGGATACAGTAAAAAATTTCACCTGCATAAAACAGCGTGGGGCTTTCGTGTTTAGTCATTCCTCTGAATGTTTCATAATTTTTGTTTAAAAATAGTTCAAGTCTTACTATCAGTCTATACACAAGTTAAAGAGAGTTTGAGTTTGGACAAACAGGTATTATGGCTGCGATTTTAATCAACTTAATTTGTCTCACAAAATAATACATTCCCTTTTAAGTCAGTTATTGGTTTTAATGTTTTGCAAGATATAGTGAAGCATGAAGCTTTATATTATTTAAGGCTGTCAAAAGTTTAATGAATGGTCACCGCAAAAGTTTTTTTTTGTTTTTTTTTACTATTGGGAAAAGTATTTGCCTTATGACCCAGTCTGTGGGTTTCAAACCATAAGTATTGTTTCTCTGAGAGGTTTTATTAGGACTTCTAACCTGCAGGTTTTAACCTGCTTCTGTAAAAGTTGAAATGTGTCACAAGTTGAATTCAAATCTCTCAAAACACCTGTGCCATAAACGATTTGGCGTAAACAACATCATATCATATATCTTGATAAGGAAAAGTTTGCAATAAATTGTAATTGTACCTGTAAAACAGTGGAAAATGGCTCTCTGATACAATAAAAGGTGTCCTGAAAATGGGAAAATCTTGAATTTTCTTTTTATTGTTTAATTTTATTAAATCCATAATGTCTGTGACCTAATATTTTGCCTTTTCCATTTTAGTGACTGCGCATTTCAAACAAATGTTCTCTTGTTACTGATATACATAGACTTTCTGCTGCAACTTCAGTTCATTCAAATGAAAATTTATATTAGGGTTCATTAGACCTCCAAAACTCTTATAATTAAAAGGGGACATATTAACACTGATGTTTAACTTTAATCTGATCAATTGCTCCCTTTCCAAATAATGAGAAGACAAACATCAAAACAGTAAAAGATTTAAATACTGGAGCCTAATTAGTGTTTGAGTCTGAGTAAACTGACTGGTATAAATGGATACTCAAGTGAAATCTACATATAGCACTTTCAAAGCAGCTTTTACAGTTGTAAGACTGGAAGAACTGTAAGAGAACTAAGGAAATTAACATTTGAACTTTCTCTTGAGAAACTAGCATCCCCATCAAAGACGGAACCACAGTCAATCAACTCAAAATCAATTCTCTCCCTTCCTCATCTCGTCTCTCTCTCATGCTGAGATCACCTGAAATTCAACCCAAAAAGCTATATGGTTTAATGTGAACAATTATACAACACTATACATGTTTGGTATCATTTGAAACGTCTCAGTGCGACTGGTACAAAGGTCTCATTCCCAAAGAAGTAAATACAAAGGTAATAACGTTTTTAAGAGTTTAGAGATATTGCTTACAGTGGAGGGTGGGTCTTCCAGGCAAATGGTATCCTGCTCTCAAATGTCAGGTAGCTTATACATCTTTTCTCTTTATTCCAGAGCATTTGATGTTTTGTTTATTATCTTTGAACTAATTATGTAATTGGCATGATACATTTACCTGACTAATAATAAATTGTTACATTTGACTTTCTGACTTACAACAAAATCTACTATATTGAATAATTTCAGAGTATCCATTGTTTCCGCAAATCTGCGTTCAGGGTTAAGTACATACTAGATCTCAGGTTAGATGGATTGTGATAAAATGGAGTCAGATAAAAGTTTATTTAGAATAAATTACTTTGCCACAATGAAAAGACAGTAACATGCAGTAAACCTTCACCCGCTTATTAGAAAGTCGTTGGACCGATTGGGCTGGCCTTACAAAGTGATAAACAGCAATATAATGATCAATGATGCAAACATCAATTCTACTTTAAAGCAGCTCTAAACTAGACAATAGTGTCATTCAACAGTTCAGTGTTGATAATGATCATTTCTGTTCACTTGTCTCCCAGTGAATTCACTAGTGCATACTGATGTGGAAATGATGACATTTGTTTCTGACATTTCTATTGGAAACAAAAGATGTATAGTTAATTGCAGGCACATATTGTCACAAAGATAAACATCAACTCTGGACTATGAAGTTTAGTTTTTCATATACACGTATCACTGTTTCCACAAAAATATTAAGCAAAAGAAGTGTTCTCAACATTGATAATAATAAATCTTTCTTAAACGTCAAATCAGAATGATTTCTGAAGGATCGTTTGACATTGAAGACTGAAGTAATAACTGCTGAAAATTCAGCTTTGCAATCACAGGAATAAATTACTTTTTAAAAATATATTCAAGTAGTAAACAGCTACATTTAAATTGTAATAATAGTAATTGTAATAACATTTTACAATATTACAGTGTTAACTGCATTTTAGATCGAATAAATGCAGTCTTGACGAGCATTAGGGACTTCTTTCAAAAACATTACAAAATCTCACCAACCCCAAGCTTTTGAATGGTAGAGTAGAACAAGAGTGAGCCATCAACTGAGATTAAAAGCATATTCAGCTGCTGAGTTATGGTTGTATGAAGTCAATCATGTGCATCCTTGGTCAAAGGCCATGTTGCATAACTTGAATAAAATGAAAGTAGGAAGAACTTTTGATAATGTAAGTCGGTTCTTACTAGGGCTGTTTATTTTTACTCTTAAATTCAGAGATTTTCACATCTCTGTAGATATGCGCACCTTAAACATGTTTAGAGTCTTGATATCAGCAGCAGCTCTTCTTACAACTGAAGGTAAGGATCACATGCTTTGTTCCATACTTGCTAGCATTATGTGTTTATGACTTGTGCACTGTTCTTTACTAACAGTCCCATCTGAATTGCTGTTGTTTCATGTTTTGTTTTTGAAGGGCTCTTGGTTCAAGGACCTGCTCATTCTCTGGTTGCACAACTGGGGGGTTCCATCCTCCTGCCCTGCTCTGTGGAAACCCCATTACCTGTGGAGGAGCTGGAGGTCGAGTGGAAGAAGACAGATGAAGAGGCATTAGTGCACTTGTTTCAGAACGGTGAGGACAGACCTGAGGCTCAGTATCCGTCTTACAGTGGCAGAGCACATTTTTTTCCTGAGCAGATCTTTAAAGGAAACTTTTCAATCCTGTTGGAAAATATAACAGTCGTGGACACTGGTATCTACAAATGTGTAGTTTACTTTGACCAGGATGTTGGGGAGATCCCTGTTACAATTCAACATGTGCGTAAGTATCCAATTTTAAAAGAGTCTTTAAACATGCCTATTTTGTTGTTAGAATGATTATTTGTCTTATTTATGACAGAGCGTGTAGTTGTGACAGGAGAAGATCAAATTGTGTTTGCACATGTTGGCGAGGATGTTGTTCTAAATTGCCTGGTTGACTCGCATGTTCCTCCTCAACACTTTGACGAGGTCTCATGGATGAAGGTGGACAAAAAGTCCGACATCGTCCCTGTCTTGCTTTTCCAAAATGGGACAATCTTCTCAGGATCGAATCACGAGCGTTACAGAGACAGAGCAGAGTTCTTCAGAGAAGAAATTCCCAAAGGCAACTTCTCAATGAGACTAAAAAATGTCCAGACTGCCGACAAGGGAGAATACGTGTGTGAAGTCCACGCAGAATATTCAGTGGGCTCTGCTACTGTGGAAATAGGGCGGTTGGGTAAGTCATCTGAGAAATACACTGTACCGTTTGGAAGTTTAAAAAAATGATTTTGAAAGAAATTAAGTTTTATTCTGCAAGTATGAATTAAATTGATCAAAAGTGATATCAGAGACATTTAAAATATTTCTATTTCAAATTATTGTTTCTACAAAAATATAAAGCAGTTCAATTTCTTGCTTAAGTTAAAGTACTAAAATTACTAAAACTAAAAGTTATATATTTTAAAAAAAGAAGAAAAAATAAGAAAAGTGTAAATGGAAGAAATTATTACTATTAATATTTAAACTAAAATGAAAATTAAAACCTAATTCAAAGTAATAATTAATTGTATATAAATAATACAAAAATAACTCTTCTTTTTTTATTTAAAAACATTTTCAATTTTACTGTATTTTTGCAGCCTTTACTGTATTAAAATGCCTTGTTGAACCTTAGAGATTTCTTTCAAAAACATTTAAATATAAATATTACCAGCCCAAAAACATTTTAACAGTAGTACATATGTTTATTTAATTCTATGTAGTGAAAACATTTTTTTTAATCAAATGTTATGTCCAACCGTTCTTTTTAACATGAACTAAATCTAATGCCAATAAAATCCTTGTCTCTCTCATGTAGGAATGTCTGCTCTGCACATCATTACACTGATGCTTTGCTTTATTTCCCTCTTTGTGACTTTTGTATTAAGTATTCCAGTCGCAATCTATATAAGCAGAAAAGGTAGGCCAAGCAATATGAAATATGCTTTAAAGAGTTATATTAAATGTAAATTTAAGATGTTAAACTGTGGTTCTGTTATTCTTCCACTGCATCACTGTTTATATGTAAATATCAAGTCAAGTTGTTTCAAAGCAGCTTAGAGTGATAAACGGGAAGATAATGATTGAATAATGCAAACAGAATTCAAATCTGCTGTAGAGCAACTCTTTAAAAAAAAGACAATAATAAACAGTCATACTAAATGATTGTACATGACATTTATGTTCTTCTGCAGATACTGGGACAAAGCCCATGTACATAAATTATTTGCAAGTTGTCTGTCCCAACATCTGTTTATCTATTGCATTTATTCTGTGGGGTGTAATTGAAGGTATGTGACATGAACTTCTCTAAGTCTGCATGCATTGTTTTATTTATCCATCTTTTTTTTCCTCTGATGACTTTGTTGTTTTGTTACTGCTTTTTTCAGGGTCTGTGGTTGAGGTAACAATGTGTGCAATAATTAATCTGACAAGGATCATTTTATTGTTTCTTGTGGCCCCTTATTATAATTGGAATACAAAAGTTTCTGGTATGTATATGCATTTTAATGAAAGACATTGTTTGATTGTATATTGTATTGTGTATATTCTGCAATACATTTCAAATCGCATTGTACATAAATGCATCTTATTTAGTGCTTTGGGGATCTGGGATAAACCCACAGATTTGGGGTCGAAAAAAAGAATTCTTAGTTTGCCAGAAAATTCTACAGTAATTAAAGGCGGTTAGGTTGACTATGGAATCAGCTAATATAAATGTGTAAATAACTATATGAATATGGTTTCATTTTTATTAATATCTCTAATTCATATCTAAAATTCTTAAAAATTTTAAATGTCAGGAAAGTTGTAAAAAAAATTGTTTTTGTTTTTTCAGTTAATTTTCCAGGTTTCATCCACAAAATAATTGAATATACAGGTATTCCTATTGCATATCTTCTGATTTCCACTGCATTTTGCTCAGGTAAGGCTAGTTTTAAAGTCTTAATGTAAAGAATTTATTAATTTACTATGTTAAAATACCTAAAGACCTCCTGTGGTGAAAATCAAGTTTTGCAGTTTGAAACTGCCCGTCACAAACATGTAACCAATCCCGTTAACGTGCAGGTTTTTTTTTTAGGCTTTTCCTATCATTGAGCATAAGAACACCTTTAATGGACAAGAAAAAACGGTACATATAGGTGAATTATGATGTAAATTACAATGATATGAAGAACAAACATCAACAAAAGTTAAACTTTAAAGCTAAAATCTTTCCTCTTTTGAGAATTCCATAATTTTTTTACAGAGAAAGTCCAAAACATTTATAGCTCCATTAAATCTAGCTCTACCTGCTCCTGGGACTTATCTTAAAAATCCACCTTCCATTTTCTTTTACAAGTTTGTTACTGAGTATTGACAACATTTCAAAATTGGTCATGTCTATGAGTTCATCCACATGTTCTCTTGACCACTTGCCTACCGAGGTTCTTAAAAAGTTCTTAATATCTTTATGCCCTTCTATTACTGCAATTATCAATAATTCTATAATGACTGGGAAGGTTCCATTGGCCCTTAAGACAGCGGCTATCACACCAGTTCCTAAAAAGCCTGGGTGTGATGCTGAAGGCTTATCTAACTATAGGACTATAATGAATCTACCTTTTCTGGCTAAGGTCCTTAAGTGGGTTGTTGTTGGTCAGTTACAGAAATATTTGTCCATAAATAACCTGAAACCATTTCATTCTGGATTTAGATCAGGACACAGCACCGAGACCGCTCTTGTCTGGGCCACGAATTACCTTCTCACTCACTTATGCTGACACCGGTGCTTGCAGCATTATAGTTTTGTTAGACATTAGTGCTGCTTTTGACACTGTATGTCATTCCATCCTCCCTGAAAGGATGTGTGGGTGGTTAGGCATCTCTGGTGTTGTGTTTGATTGGTTTAAATCCTATTTCACTGATAGTTTCCAAGTATGTATGTTTGGGGAAAAATAAATCTGAAGCCACACTGGTACAGCAGGGTCTCCAACAGGGGTCCGTGTTAGGGCCCATTCTGTTTACCATATATATGTTGCCTCTTGGAGAGATCATTCGAAAATTTGGTCTGGGGTTTCATTGTTATGCTGACTATACACATATATAAGTCAGTACGCACCCTGACTATAACTCTATATAACAGTTCTTACAAATTGTTTGGATGAAAGAAAATTTTCTTAAACTCAATGAGTCAAAAACTATAATTCTACTTGTTGGTATGCCGACGGCTCTGCATAAACTTTTTTTTTTTTGTAATTCCAACTGATTCCAATTCCGTATTTCCATCGTTTCAAGTGTGCAATCTTGGTGTTATTTTTGATGCACAATTGACATTCGATGCCCATATTAAAATGGTCTCAAACTGATTTTGTCCAAATCAGAAATATTGGCAGACTGACATAGAACTTCTCTCTCCTTGCCCGATGCAGAATGGCTTTTTCATGCCTTTTATTATGTCTTGGCTTTATTATTGCAATGCACTTTACTCTGGTCCTCCTGCGAATCCATTAAAAAACTGCAAAATATTCAGAATTCAACTGTATATGCCAGCATATTTCCCCTGTACTTTTATCAATTACACTGGCTTCCCATACAGACAAGTATCTATTTTGAAACTCTGATTTTAACATGTAAAGCTATTCATGGGTTTCTTCGCTCTTCTGGTTGTACTTTTCAGCAGCCCTCATTTAAATTAAAGTCTGTAGGGGAGTCGAGCAACACTGGACTGTTTTAAGAAAGCTCTTTAGACTCATATTACGTATTGTCTTTGAGTGTCTTTTTCCTTTTGCTTGTTTTTTTTGTATACTTTGTAATCTTGTTTTTTAATTGTATTACTGTTTTTATTATAATTACTCTGTGTTGTAGCGCTTTGGGTTAGAGAGAAAAGCACAATCAAATTAAAATCACATCATTAAAAACACATTATTAGCTGTTTGATAATGTAGTCAAGCCAAAGGCTAATCATATCAATTACCGTTATGTGTCCGAGAGACTAGAGAGCGATACATAAAATGCATTACCATTCGGGTACATCGACTCGTAGATAAGTGTAATTCGCTCTTCTGAATCAGTTTGTGGTTCAAACATATATAGCTGAATTAAACCATTGCGTTTACTACAGTTGACCGAGTGGATCAGATGGTGTGATTGAGTGGAGGTGGGGTCTAATTAGCATATTTATGGTATAGTTACATCCAACCATGAAGAATTTATTTCCAAAGGGAAAAAAATTTATACTTTAATGTCATTCTAATAATCAAAGATGAATTTCAATTTTGCAGAATACATTCACTGGGCCTCTATTGGATATATGTAATTCTTGTATCATCTTTCTTTTGTAGCTGTTCTTCATGATCTTTGGAATGCATCTCAGTGGAGTGAAGCTGTGCTTGTCAGTGTTGGGGTTATTCTGCTGTCATCCATGCCAGCATCTCTTCTAGCTTTAAGCCATGTTTTCTTGATACGTTTTTTTGATATTCATTTTTCCCTTCGATTTGTAACAAGTATGTAAAAATGTATTCTGTTGTATTTTTTGTGCTTTAGAAATCATCTACAATTAAATGAAGGGCATATTTCCAGATAACCACTAGGCTGCATGTTATGTGTAATGGTCATATGTGTGATTTTTGTCATGTAGACTCGTTAGGACATGTTCTCATGCAGTCAAGCAACTTTCTTCAAATGTGTCTCCTCTTCTTTAGATCATCAAGCGTTGATGAATGTAAGTAGGAGTTGTATTTATAAGTTATCCAAGATCTGTCTCTTGTTTTAGATATTTATTTACTGACAGTCATTAAAATGTGTCTGTTTTTATTTTCAGCCATGATTATAATGACATATGCTTTTGGGGGAATATCTGCTGCCATTTCATTCATAGTTCTTCCAATTCCAGCAATTCGACAGTACCTTTGTTCAAAGCTTGACAAAAATCAACTTTATGCACTTATATGGAGATGTTGTAAGTACACAAACAAATGTTTCATTTTACATGTCACAAATCAAAATGTTTATTTGTCATGTTCCATCTGGCTGGTTAGGCCGCTTAAATTGTATATTAAACCATTTCGTTGTTCAATCAGAATGGTGGTCAGAAAAAAAAATGCTTTAGGACATGGTTCTGAACCTTTTTGAATTCAAGGCCCCCCGTTGTCCACAACAATATTCAAAGGCCCCATAAATTTGCCAGTTGTTCATAATTTGGATAAGATTTGTAAAAAATAAGAGGTTGGCATAACTAGAAATGCATATCCATTCTAAAATTGGCCACAGTTTTAAGATTTACATTAATTTTCCAAGTATACAAATGACTTTTAAATGAAGCCCCCTCATATATCAAGGTTTTCCAAGACCTTGAAAATCCTGGTTCTTCAGAGACAAAAAAAAAAAAGAGGACTGAATTAAAATAAGAAATATCTTGACTTTAAGTCATTTTAGCTAATTTTAATGACATTTTAAGTCATCTTAAGGTCCCCCCAGTGGGCCCAAGGCCCTTGATTGAGAACCACAGCTTTAGGACAAGTAAATAATTACTTGTCCCCCCCTAAATTATATTTGTTAAAGTAAAATGCTGGCTGCATCAATGATGATCTTTCTGTCTCTCGCTATCCTAGATTTAGTTTGGGTAACCGTTATGGTTGTCACGCTCATCGGACATAGTGCATTTATTTTATATTATCTGAACAAGATTCTGGAGTATACTAACGGTAAGTTGGTTAAAAATTTTAGCCAAATCAGTTGCCCTATTCATTTTGAAAAAACAAAACAAATTGCTTGCATTGTTACTTAAATGTTTTGTTTGGGTTATGCTAATATATCATCCAAATATTTTCTTACATTTTTTTGTTAGCTTTTATGGTATAGTATGGCTTTCCAGCAATTGCAACCTGACTATTATAATGTGTTATTGATCATAGAGCGTTTTGGATGGATCTTTGTCACAGTTCTGCTCCACGTCTTGACTGCGATTGCACCCTCGCGATTCCACAGAACAGTTCCTGGTAACAAATGAGGATAAGAAAGTCAAGAAACATTCAGATTTTTGGTTACTTTGTGGCAATAGAATTTGTAAACATTTTCAATGAATCAGTAGGGCATAAAAATGCATCCTAATTCTGCAGTAATTCTTACATTTCCTCTTTTGCAGATGTCATTTACACTACTTTGTTCATGTATGGGGTGGCAGGCCTGCCAGTGGTCAACTCTGTTTCTCTTGCCACAGAATTAATACTGCAAGTGTGTAAGTGTCAACACCCAAACAATATTTTTGTATGGTTCTGTTGGAGAGAGCACTAAATTCTTCTGTTTAGACAAGGGAGAGAGAACAATTGATGATCTGCGTGTTATAGTGCTGCCATTTGAAAGCATTATGTCTGGTGTGTGGCTGGTTTTACAGATCCATGCATACTGTAAGTTTCATTGGTATATTTTAAATCATTTGTAATAGCTGTTAATGTTAATGACACCGCTCACTGTCATTGTCTTTACTCTTGATTTACAGGGAAAGGTGCAGGGAGAGAGTAAGTTTACATTTTTCCTTAATTTCTTTTTTTAAATTTGACCTGCAGGATTTGAAGCCAGCAGTATATGATGACCCAGTAATGGAACTTTTTCACAGCTAAAGTTTATTAGTAGGCCATTATTTTGCATTGCTTAATTGCTGTGTTAATTGATTGTCTTTCAGAGTAGTGAAGGAGCTGAATGTGCTGAGGGACTTTGCGGCACAGTGCACACCACAGGTAACTGTTTTAGAGGCCGACTATTTGATAGCAAAGAGTACAAGTCACAGGTTTATGTTGTTTAGTTTACTACTTAGTTGTTCTGTAACAAAAGTAAGGGACTAAAATAATGTTAAACGCTTTTTAAAAGCATGTTATTGCATTGCTGTAATATGGGTTATCCTAATATCTTGGCTCTGATGCCAAAATCTAGTGGAAAAACTCCTAAATGGGGAACTTAACTTATAATGCTCTTAACATTTATCCTATAAATCCTGAAATAAATGTGTGTGTTCATTACAGGAAGGAGACTTTGGTGCATCAGTTAATTTCTCAGAGATTCACCTTTCTGAAACTCAAAGATGTCAGCCAGAGGAGGCACCATTCCTGGGAGAGCGAGAACTAGAGGTTTAAAATCTTAGTTTTAGCAATAACACAATGTATGATGAGCTATAATGTTAACATTCCTGTACTAACTTTATTTAATTGTATATATTTCAATAGAAAAATCAAGCATTATTGTACAACTAAATGTGGTTTTGCTGATTCTTTGAGTAATGAATTGTATAAATAATTGCATATGAAAAACTTACCTTTACATTATTGTTTATTTCCATATTTGCATGGATTTCTTTAAAATATGTTTCACACACAGATTCATATAGCCATTTGAATAACATTTCAAACTGAAAATATGCAGATAGACCCTATAATAAAAATATATAAATCAGCCCTTCCTCCTGATATGCTACTCCAGCTAAAAAAGAAACACAAAACCAATCAGCAGCATCATGACACTGCTGAGCTGTTGATTGGCTGAGCTTCTGTGTGTGTGGAGAGAGTGTGTATGTGTGTCCTGTATAAAGCAGACTGCTCTGCAGTATTTCTGAACTGGTGCAGTGCCGGTTCATCTCCACTAATGGTGTGCAGAACAAGGGGGACTTAAAAAGAAAAACTTCTTCAACCAACAAAACATTAACATCATTTGAAAACCAAACCAAAAAAAACAACAAAAAATCCTGCATCATGAGCTTTGACCCATTTATCTCCTCCTCCCTCTCCCGGAGAAGGGAACATTCCTACTCCAGTACCACCACCTATCGGCTCTCCCGGGGGCCCTTGTCTTCCTCCAGGTGGCCGATGCGCTTGGAGCCTCTGCAGCGCTGGGAGCAGAGCGACCTGAGTCAGGTGACCGTGGGGAACACCGAGCTGTTAGACCTGCGGGCCCAAGAACGAGAGCAGCTGGTGGGTCTAAACAACCGCTTTGCGTCCTACATTGACAAGGTTCGACACCTCGAGCAGCAAAACCGGGCTCTGCTCCTGCAGCTGGAGGCCCTGCGGCGCAGGCAGAGTCAGCCGTCCCGCTTGCAGCAGCTCTACCTGCAGGAAGTACGGGGCCTCAGGGAGCAGCTGCACCAGGAGGCCCAGGCTAAAGCGCGCATGGAGGCACAGAGGGAGGCATTGCGGGAGGCGCACGCACAGCTGCACGAGCGCTGGGAGGAAGAGGCACGGCTGCGTAGCCGGGCCGAGGCGGACCTGCAGAGGTTTCGAGAGGAGGCAGGCCAAGCCGCTCTCTGCAGCTGTGATGCGGAGGCCAGCGTTGTCTCCCTAGCACAGGAGGTGGACTTCCTGAAGCAAGTGTTTGCCGAGGAGCAGGAGGGGCTGAGGGTCCAGCTACAGGTCGCCAGCCTCAGCGTGGAGCTGGACACAAGCAGACCGGACCTGTCGGCCGCTCTGAGAGAGATCCGAGCGCAGTATGAGACCTTGGCTGGACGCAACATGCAAACCGCCGAGGCTTGGTTCCAGGGGAAGGTGGCGAGCGCAGTGGAGCTGACAGATAAGCAGGAGGAGGCTGTGCGCTTGGTACGCGAGGAGACCACCGAGTACCGGCGGCTACTGCAGTCCCGTTCAGCTGAGGTCGAAGCACTGAGGAATGTCATCGATTCACTGAATGCACAACTAGGGGAACAAGAGGAGACGCAGAACACCGAGGTCACCAAATACCAGGTATAGGTCACTGGCAGTAGTTAATCATAATTGCAACACGTGCAATATAACCAAATAAATGCCTCTGTAGAGACACTGAAAAAAAAAGCAATGTCATTCTGATATTGACTGCAGAAACATCATAGATAAAAGAGAAGATTAATACAAACGTAAAATAAATGGAACAAACTTTATTTGTATTTAGGGGCACAATACTCAGACAAAACGTGCAAAAAAATTACCTTTAGGGGTACAACAGCTGGTCACTGAGGCTGTACACTTAAAGGGACAACTTTGTACCGTATCTACCTATAAAATATGCATATTAATATGTACCCCTAAGGTACTACTGTGATAATTTTACAGACAAAAAGGTTTAAAGTTGTCCCTTTAAGGGTACTGCCCCAGGGTACTGATTTTTTTTGCACATTTTCTCTGTCTAGTCTTTGTGCTTCCCCACAAGGAAACATATTCCTGAGTCTCTGTGTCAGTTTCATCATTTAAGTCTTTACATAAGTCAGTGTGCTGACCTTTGCTGTTCTACAGATTCAACATTGATTTAATACTATTTCTGCTGTGCTTTTGTCATTGTAATGTCCAAACGATAGTTGCAGAAATGTTACTGATGCTGACTCATTCCATCAGTGCTGAGTCATGACTGACACACTAAGTAGAACAAATGAGACTGACTCTAGAGGAAAAAGGTATTGCTGAGCTAAATCTGTTAGATCTATCTATGATGCTACTACTCTGTATCTCTGGCACAAGTCCAGTATGAAGGAATGTTTCTTTCAGTTAATCATTCAGGCATGAATTGATGCTTTGAGATTTTCTCTCAATAACTTCTAGGGGAGGATAAGTGACCTAGAGAGCGACATTACTGATGCGAAAGAGGAAATGTCACGCTATTTGCGGGAGTATCAAGATCTGCTTAACGTGAAGATGGCTTTGGATGTTGAAATTGCAGCTTACAGGTAATATTCTTGACAGAAGGACACCTGTAGTTTCTTTAATCAGAGTCGCAGCTAATTCAAAAATAGAATCACAAATATGGGAGTACTAACTTGAATTAAGTAACTTGGATGGTATATCACAAATGGGTATTGATGTGTAGTTTGTTTTGAACTGACCTTCATTTTTGCCTTAACAGGAAACTCCTGGAGGGAGAAGAAATTCGATTTACATATTCCACCCTCCCAGCCCTTGCCTAACTCCCTAAAACACAAAATCCTAATAACTCACATTCATCATTTTCATATTTTGAATACCGGTGAGGGAGAGACCCACTTTAAGATCCTAAAAAACTAACCTACAACATCATCCCCCAGATTCAAACATTGATACAGGTGAATAACCTACTTTTTCTCTCCAAAAACAACTAAACTGGACCCACCATTTATGACCCTCTTTGTCAAAATCACATCCATAACCATTGTTTTAACCTCCGATCCTAGTTCTTTATTAGTTACTTGCACCCAAATTACACCATCCAACCATGAAACTAAGCCTCAGCATATCATTGCTTTCAAGTCAGACGAGCCCTTGTGTCACACAAGAGGTACACATAAGGAGGTCCCCCTTCTTCTTTACACTAGAAATGGAAAAATGATGACCACCTTGGAGACATCGCTAGGGGCAGCACTCACTCAGCCAGAGCTCAGTGTCATGTTGGCCGATTCTCATGGAGAACCATAGAAGGTTCCACTTCAAGAACACGGTTCTGCAAATAAATCCATTTAAATTTTCACTAAATTGTAACTTCTTTGTTCGATTCCCAGGACCCATTGAGCATCTGATTCACCAATGATCCCCTATATGCAAACTTTTAACCAATTGTTTGTTGAGGTGAATCGCTGTTTGATCTCAGCTAGCTTTGGATGCTAGGAATAGACTAAAGCCAATTTGTTCATTTGAAATTAGACCAAGAATCAGCCATCAGGACACTGTCCACCATCCCTGGCTCTTTATATTATATGTAGTTAGTGCAACAGTTATGTTTTAGCTATGTTAGTTAGGTTAGAATGTATTATTTTTAGTAAACGTTGTAGTAGCATTACATTTAGTTTGCTATCTGTCTGTGTTCTGCTTCTCATATTTTTGTTTTGTTGAGGATATTTGATTATTTTGCTTTAGCATTTACAGTGTTTGACATGATAAAAGCATGACTGAAAAATCAAGAGTAGAAATAATAAAAGCTCTAGAACTGGAGTTTTTAGACTCGTGGTTAAAATACAACTGCTCTCATCTGCTTTTGTTGTGTCATCTCAGTTATAATGTTAGTCAATTATCAGTAATTTGAAAATGAACAAGAAACCGAGTCTGTTTATGACAGTCTCTGAACTGAATGGTGCTGTATGTTTGTACCTAAAAACACGCTGAATAAAGCAACAGTACCTCTTCTGCTGTGTGTTTGAGTGAGAGCCTGTGCGCAATACAGTCAGAAACTTGCTCATTAAAACCTCTTTGGAATATTTATGCTGGATTTAATGGATACTCATGTTTTAAATTAATGCTGAACGACTCGAACTGGCTTCTTTTAGTTCAATCAAGAACATGCCAAGTGGTTCTTTTATTTTTAGTGAACAAAACCATTATAAATCAGCCAGAGCGGTTTTGTCATGTCCAATAAAAATAATAATAATAATTTAAATAATAATAATAATATATATATATATATATATATATATATATATATATATATATATATATATATTTTTTTTTTTTTTTTTTTATCTCAATTATGATTTAGTATATAATTTGTATGTCATAATTGTGATGTGGTGGAAATGGCCTTCCATATAAATAAGTCTCTCAGTATTAGTGGCTGTTCATAACACATTGTGTAAAGATTATGCGTTTTTGTCAGTGGTGTTAAGACCACCTGATTACCTTAACTTACCGTAGTTTATGCCGCCTCCAACCGCTTTTGTTTCTTCCTCAGAAGTAGGCTAGAACATTTAATAGACCGTTAAGGAACATAAACCATTAAGATGAAATAGAATCGATACAGTATCATTAATTACCTCACGATCTCCATCCAGTTATTGACCGCGTTCGCAGACAGTTCTGTTTATTTCCAGCGCGCGGCAGTAGAGAGCGCTTTGCGTTCAGCTCAGCCGTGACTAAATAGAGTGAAGAAACATCTTCCGTGGTTAAAGTTCAAGAACATGGCGGCCTATGTGAAAATGCTCAATGTTATATAGTCATGCTGGAATCTGTTGCTTGCTTGTAGTATATTCAATCATTAATTATTTTAGGTTTTAATTGTATAGACGCTTACCGTTAATTATAACTATATATAATCTTCAACATGTTGCGGGCTTTATCGCGGTGTCATGATCCTGTAGTCCGTCTTCTCGCTCCTCGCAATACAGTTTTGATCGAAACTGTCAGGGGAAGAAAATCTCGCACAGACCCCAAAGCGAAGTCAAAATTGGGCCGAATCAAGACTCCCCCTCCCGTGGATCCAGTGGAAATGGTTGTATTAAAGGAGCGTTTCACTGAGTACAATTTGATCCTAAGAGCCCTGCGGTAAGATTGCATGACATTAAATCATAAAACTGATTATTATTTCCAGGCATGATTATGATGACTAGTGAATGTAGATCTGTGATTACCAAGGTCACTCTACCCCTCTAATTGTCTCTTTATTATTACTTTTGCCGTTTGAGATTGTCGAATTGACATACTTGAACATTTTATGCATGTAGACTTGAGTTCAAGGAGCAGGTGTTGAGGAAGAAATATGAAGATGAGGTTGGTTCCGCAGCAGAGGAGAGAAGTAAAAGGGAGGCTGAAGAGCATCGGTCATTAATGGCCTGGAATGATGCTGAAAACCTCAGATTACGTCAAATACGGTGAGTCATTTAGATGTGATCCTGTGCGATATCACATATCAGATATGTTATGTAGGTCATGAGGGGATGAGTTCTGGCTGGGATATACTTAAAGGGATAGTTAGGGCTGGGTATCTTAACAAAATTTCCGATACCGATACCTTGACTTCGATACCGGCTCCTGGACGATATTTGTTTCGATACCAATTTTCAGGAAATCCGTTTTAACAATATTACATTACCTAATTTTTCTTTTCTTTCAGTTAGTTGACTTTTTTACGCTCATATTTTGAGTCTGTAAAAAAGCACTAATGCTAAAGTTTTCTATGTTTCCTAATCATTTAACAATATGTATTCTTTACCTCAATGAGCTCAAAACAATGAAACTGAATGAAAATTAATTGAAATGCATTACACAGTCACCTCTGATAACCGATCACTCTAAATTGTCATTTAGACACATGCATTTACTGTAAAGCTGCTTTGAAACGATATGTTTTGTGAAAAATGCTATACAAATAAATGTGAATTGAATTAAATATAGGCTAATGGGGTGCGGGATATATGCCTCACGCTCAGCACACATAAAGCTTGCCGCAAAGCACTGGGGAAAGTATCCATAATGATTATGGATGTGTCGGGAAAAAATAGCAAGGAGATATTTACATTTTTTATTAATAAACAAGTGTTTACTGAGTGTGTTGGCTGCAAAGAATATGGCGATGTTGACTCGTCATTCCTGCATGAACACGCACGTGCGCCTATATGAATTATATAATCAAGCTATTTATTTCGTTTAAAAGTAGACATATTTTAACCGTCTAGGCCTATTTCTCATGTCTGTGAGTCAAGGTCCTATACGCTGAGTTTCGGTTCATTTGTGACGCGATCCAGTTCTTGCAGTCGAAGATGGATAAACTTTCTACTCTCAAGTGTATTCTGTGCGCTTTTAAGTGCCTTATCAGAGTTGAGTTGTCGGTCTTGGCAGCAATTATCTTGTCGAAAATATTGCATTGCGTGCTTCTGGCATCGAGTGTGGTTGGGAATCTGGGTTGGGACGGTTGGGCCGCTCTCACACACACACACACACACACACACACACACTACAGCCTCACGTGCGACAAACCACGTCTCTCTGGGCAACCGCGTAAACTAACGTTATTGTTTTTCCGCCACAGCCAATCATGCTGCATGCTTTTTGCTTCACTGACGTTGACTAGATTAACCCCTTAGGTATCGAAATTTGGTACCGAAAAACAAGACATGTTTCGATACTCGGTAGTATCGAGGCAATTCAGTCGGTACCTAAAAAGTATCGAACTCCATACCCAACCCTAGGGATAGTTCACCCTAAAATTAGAATTAAGTCATCATTTACTCACCCTGGTGTTGTTCTAATGCCGTATGCCCTTCTTTTATAGACCTCAAAAGAAGAATTAAAAAAAAAATGTCCCACTCATATTCATCCTTATAATGTCAGTAAATACAACCTGAATCAAGCTTTTTTTTTAAAGACACGAAAGTATCACAGAATGAACCCATGCGACACGTGTTGTATATTCCAAGTGTTCTTGGCAGACTGATCTCATGAAATGGCGTATGTATGACACGGCAATTCGTATTTCCATTTTTGGCGTGCTATCAACACGCATAATCGCTTTTCAGCGTGTTTATCAATGCTTTGACTTAACGTTACATTACTGTATAAATATATGACCTACCCAAACCCCGTCCCTAAACCTACCCGTCACTGGGGTTAATACCATTTATGAGTCTTCCCCTACCATCCTAGGAAAAAAAATATCGCTCCCCAGATGTAGATCTACATTTTGCTTCGTTTCGCTCGGACATTTAACGCCGTGTACATACACGCGGAATCACTCGGACATTTAACGGCGTAGACATACACGCAAAAGATGACGGTTCGTTTCGGCGTGGACACACACGCGGACAGCTCAAAATGCGCATAGATAACACGCCACATGACTTGAAAGTGGTGTGTATGTTTACGCAAAGTCATGATGCCATGTTGGTTCTTGGGGTATATGATAAGGTTTGGTGAAAAACTAAATTAAATTTAATGTATTATTTAATACAATTCTTGACCTTGGCCTTTGGTCTTCTCTTATTAGCATCGCAGTTCACTTCGACTCGCCCCGAAAAAGCACACTAGTTGTGAAAATCAAGATGAACAAAAACAAGACATAAAATACAACCCATGTACCTTGTTTTTCTTGATTTCTCACAAGTTGTGTGCTTTTTCTGGGTGAGTCACTAGTGCCGCAGTTCACACACTGAACTGTGGCACTAATAGCGTCTCACACATCGTGCAGCCGTGTAGAGAAGACCAACGGCCAATGTCAAGAATTTTGTTAAAGCTGCAGTCCGTAAATTTTTTTGAGTTAAAAATATCCAAAATAATAATAATAAACATAATCATCCAGTGTTCAAAAATATCTGCTTACCTTTTCTCGATTCAAAACGGTTAGCTTGTACTGGTGGGTTTCCGTGGGAAATTCGAGCATGTCTTTGGGTCATTACGCCACATCTGTACACACGAAGAAGGAGCCCCGGCAAGCAGGCTATATTGCGTGTGATCATGTTGGAGGTGGACATTTTTAGCCTTTTCTCACAGCACAATAATTAAAATTATGGCGAATCTAGAAAGGAATCGACAATCACCAGTGACAACTGTAGATTCAACAGTTGTAAAACCAAAAAGAATTCGGACTTCTGAGTGGGTAGAGAAAAAAAGAGACTGCAACCGTGCCCTCGCGAAAACAAGAATAAACATCGGCAGGGCTTTTGAAAGATGGCGTGAACTTGAAGGGGTTCAAAACGCACGCAGAGACAGCTTTTTTTCTGCTGGACAGGTAAGGCATTTCAATAGTTCGTGTAACGGCAGCACACTTGTTCTCTTAATTCACGCAGTTACGGAGTTTCCTTTGTTGTTGCTTTTTTCGTTTTGCTATTAGTAAAAGCTACTGTTTGACATAAGATAAGTGATCGTTATATTTAAACAGCAATAATTTACTTCAATGATTTTTTCCCCCATAGTTGATCAAAACAAAAGTGGATGTTTCTTACTTGTTCAGATGACATTTTCTTGTGAAAATTCTTATGCTGGTCATACTTCCAAAACGTAGAATCTGTGATTCTGAATGCCAGTCACAGTATCCACACCGGAGCGGTGATTGACTGACGCGCACTCTCCTCAAAACAATGTGTTCATCCGCGCTGTTTCATGCCAATGTACAACTCACGTAAAGTTGATAATTCCGCGAATCACTGCAGTTACAGATTTCGAACAGAGATGGCGACAAAGAGGAAAAAGCTACGGACTGTAGCTTTAAATAATGCATTACATTTTTGTTTGTTTTTCACCAAACCCTATCATATACCCCCCGAACACTTGGAATATATAATACATGGGGTCATTCTGTGATACTTTTCCATCTTTTTCAAAAAGCTTGATGCTGGTCGCTATTCACTGCCATTATAAGGACGAGAGCGAGTGTGAATTTATTTAAAATTCTGCTTTTTGGTGAGTAAATTCTAAGTGTGCGCTACAGTTTTATCGTCTGCCGCTTTAAATGTGTGAGCTCTTTAAATCAGGATGGATTCTAATTGGCTGTCAGTGTTTTTATGTAAAAATAAAACACGTTCTAAAAAGTTATTCTATATCGTTTCTCTGTGCCATTATTTTTATTGTAGTGGTGTGGACTATTCTTAGCTTTTTTAGAACTATATCCTTATCAATATAGTTCTCATTCTTGGTGTGAACGGGCCTTTAGCATTAAATGCCCCTCTGATTCGTTTGTAGTACTGCGAGACGCAGTCGGATACACCGCATTTTGTTGCTGATTAAAATGGATGTGTATCATCTGGTCTTCCAGAGTGCAGCGCGTGCAGAAGGAGACTGAAGCCGCGGAACTGAAGAGGAGAGAAGCAGTCCTCTTACACCAGCAAGAGCTGGAGGACTACATTAAAGAGAAAGAAAGACAAATTCTTCAACTACAGGTGAATCTTTCAGTACCGTGCAATGAAAGAATGCAACAGAACAAAATATAGACCTCTGAAAAAGACTGTATATTGTACATACATTTTGTCCAAGTTTAAACTAAGAATGAGTTGTATTGGCATGCTTTAATTTATTTGATATATTTCTTGAAAATGATGTTTATTATTATTGTGCGGTTAATAAGTACATTTGTTAAATAAGGTTTTTTTTTTTTTAGAGGTGGGTGGGAGGGAGGATGGTTTTATGATTCAACCCTTTGCATTCATGTTTCAGGAAGAGGCAAAGGACTTCATCACAATGGACAATCTAGATGAACGGATTGAAGAGGCTCTTGACAACCCGAAAAACTACAATTTTGCCATTGATAAAGAAGGACGTGTTGTCAAACGGACAGCGATACAGTGATAAATACACAATTTAAAGAACAAAAATACCTATGTACATAAAATATACACTGTCAGTGATATGGTTTAAACTGTTTGTTTGGACAATTTTCTTTTGTCTCAAAATTGATTCACATGAGTTCTTTGTCCTCTGACCCTCTAAGTGTTATGAGAGAGTCAGTGGATGTAGTGAGTGATATCTTTGTGTGTGCATGTACTATGTGAGAAACTCATTTTCAAAATGTCTAAAATATACCAAACTCTCTTGGAAGTGATTTGTTCATTAGTTAAAGTGAATGCAACAACGTATGTCTTAATTGGCATCTAAAAATACCAAAAAAATTCCTGTAAGGGGTGTGGTGTTTAGTAAATTCATCATACCTTAAATGTAGAAAAAAGGAACTTACTACAGTGGATAATTTTGTCTCTGTCTGTCTACCTACTACCTTTTTAAATCTAGTTTAAAATCAAAAGTATTGTATCGAACAGATGAAGATGAGAGTATAGAGAAAGAAGGACAAAAGAGAGGTAGAAGAGACAAAGCAGAAGTGAGCAATTAATATTTATGGTGGAAACTTACACCCTCTTAAAAATACATTATCATATACATTGATCATTTTGGATACAGCAACATGTTAGCAATAGACTATGGACAGGTTTCATTTAGAAGTGAAGTTCCCTATGCCATAGTGATGAGTGCTTTTTGAAACACTTAGTGAAAAACCTTAGAGAATCATTTGTTATGATTCGGATCACGTCACGCGTATCAAACTACAAAAGTCACGTGCTTTAAGTAAACAAAGCTTCGTTGCCACGTCATAATTGTTTCGAAATTTCATTTGGTTCACCAAAAAAAAAAAAAAAAAAAAATCCAATGGTTCACCGCTAGGGGAGATCTCATGAACCCATTACCAGTATCTATCTTATTATTTTTACCTGATCTCGGATCAGTTTTATAAATTTGTACACATTTAATGACACATTGGCATAATAAAAAGGAAGAGTTGTATTTAAAAGTCTAATTTACAAAACTCAATATAAAATGAACAAAACAAGCCCTACAATTGAATACAGTATCACTAATTTATAATGTGTCTAGTAAATTCGGCCATCCTTCACAATCGGGAAGCTTTCACCGTGTCTAGATGGCGCGAGCTGCCAGGCCGATTTCTACGGGGTGCTTGCGTGTGTTAAGCGCCCTCAAACGAAAGCAATGCTGTCTACATTGGATGCGGCGAGGGGCGACGGCGACGCTACACAACACATTACCAACAGTCAACTGTTCGCGCGCGCTCTCTGCCTCTCGCTATTTGCAAGAAATCCCTCTACAAATGTAGCCTATACGCAATGACGCAAATTTGCACGTATAACCAATCACACACACACATCCTTCTCCGGGTACAATAATATATTCTATTCATTTAAAGCAATGCTTATTATACAACCCAAAATATTAGCAACAAACATTTAGATGAAAACATTCATAATAATAAATAAATCTGAAAACGATCTCTTTAAGGTAAACACATGCAAACCACAGAAATACATTTGAAAACTGAGAGAGATGATAATTATGCAACTTATCAAAGGGGAAAAAAAACTTAGGATTAAGAAGCTGTTAGAATTATTTAGCAAAGCACCTGAAAATAAAATAAATGTCATAAACGTCAGTATAGGCTACTAGAGTTAAATGAGCAATCATAAATTAAACATACTTAATCACTCTTTGTATTTGTATTGCATATTCAGTTTTATTCTAACGAAACAGGATAGATTTCCCGCCACTCACAAATACTTGATTTCAGTGAGCGCCTTGCTCTATTGTGATGTCATAGAACGTTCGCTGAGACAGTAGAGTGCAAAGTTATCTTGCAACTTGTAGAGAGTCGGCGAGTGATGGTGAGTAGGCTGCTTTTTATTCAGGGTTTGGATATTTGAATTTTATTTCATAATTGCATTACTCAGATCAGATTAGACTCTACTTAACCCTCTGATGGTCTTCAAAAAAAAGTCACACTCATGGTCTTCGGGGTCTATTGGACCCCAGACAACAACATTTAATTTTGTAACCGAACAATATTTTTTTTTTTAACAAATATAATTTTACTCTGTTTATTAATGTTTTTACTCAACATTTGTGCAGTTTTTGGAGAATTTATGATTTTTTTAAAATTATTATAAATAAATAAATAAATATTTAATTAAATAGGATTTTTACAAAAAAACAGCATTTTATGTTAAATAAATTTTATAAAAGACCCAGATTTCTAACTTTCATTCCTGGGGATACCATGGATAATTTTACAAGGTTTAATGTAAGATTTTTGCCCATTTTTTGGAAAATACAGGTTCAAATTTGTAATAAATCACTTTAACCACTAGATGGCTATAGAGCTCCATTATATGCTATTTGCTATTTGAATTACTGAAAGATTTAGTTTCTAAAGTTGGATTCAGTTGGATTCATATCTAAATATTATAAAATCACAATTATAACAAAAATAAAATATTTTTTGTCAAAATTTAGCATTTTTTGTACTGAAAAAACACTATGCATGGTAAACCGCATGACTTCTGCAGACAGGGTTGGAGCAGGTTTGGCACTTCACTGTTGTTGTTGTTGTTGTGTGTGTGTGTGTACATTTTATTTTTATTTTTATGTGTACAGTGTCACCAATTTATTTTTGTGGTGGTTCTTCATTTTGTATGATTTTATTTGACAAATTATAAGACTTTTTATAGCCTTACAAATGTATTCCTGTGTGTGTGTGTTTGTGTGTCTGTGTGTGTGTGTGTTTGTGTGTGTATGTGTGTGTGTGCACATTTTCAATGCGTCTAAGTGTTACCAATTTATTTTTCTGGTGGTTCTGCATTTTAGATTATTTTATTTTACAAATGATAAGAGAACAGTTTTTATAGTCTGTATATATTCCTGTATAAATGTATTCCTGTTTATGTGTGTGTTTGTGTGTGTGTGTGCGCCTGTGGTGAGCATGATAATTTTGGATTGTGGATGTTTTTTGCATTGTTGGAAGTGTGCCACTTTATTTCTGTCATTTCTGTCTATGTGTTCTACGTTGTTTCTGATTTTGATGATGTTATTTTGTCTATTTTGATAGCGGGGTCCAATAGACCCCGAAGACCACGAGTGTGACTATTTTTGTCACGCCAACATAAAAACAGATATCATGAATTTTTTTTTTTTTTTTTTGTAGATCTAGAAAGTGTTGAGAGCCGTAGAAAGTTTCAAACCATTTGGACAAAGAGAACATTTTTTTTAATTTGAGCAAAAGTCATTTGGGGTCCAATAGACCCCGAAGACCATCAGAGGACAATAGAATGTTATTGACTCGATGCAGATAAATGAATAGGCATGACGATATACAGTGGTATAGGCCTAATTTGTGTCCACAATTTAATATGTAAATTGGGTTTGATGTTTTTAATATAACGTTAGCTATTTGTTGATTTGCTCCCATACACATATGATAACCTCCTATATTCTTGATAATTAATGACACATTATTACATAATCAACACAACACATTAAATCAACAAATGACCATTTAAACATTTATGGAGAGCTCCATAGACGTTATCCTGTCTTTGCGAGGAACTCCGCAGATTTTCAATCTCTCTTGCTTTGAGATCCTTTACATTGACCAACTTGCAGATCTCATGACACATCATAATGAAAGCAGATTTGGCCTTAATGGTTATCTCTGTATCTCTGACTGTAACTGATATGCAAAAGGAGGAACTCCTTATGCCTTTAATGGCCATTTTGGACAGACAAATGTCCATTTGAATATTTATTCTCATTGGTTTGTTAAATGGAGTCTTTATTGCTGTCATCCTATTCTATTCGTGCAGTAAATAAAATGTGCCTTGACTACCAGGCATGATAGACATTTTATATACTAGTCCAAAGTGCCCGTGCAAAATCAGTTTTTGTGTGTGTTTTTGGTAATTGTTGGTTTGGTGTGTTTGAGTGCTCATTGTTACAATTAAACAGCAAACGTTCAGTGACATTTTTAATTGTGCATGGTAGAAAGCAAATACTGATACTGACATTATGACATATAATAATTATGGAAAATTGAATCATATATATATATATATATATATATCATTATCTTAGTTGACCACATTAGTAGTTAAATTTATAATTTATCAATTAATGAAGCTTAATTGTTAATTTTGAATAGATTTGAAGGAGGCTTTTGGACTGGACTCCCTTGCCTCTTCTGATTGACAGCCATGGGCATACACTGTAGAAAATGTATTTTTTCAAGTAATTTGATAAGACAATCAGCTTCCAGGTTTGTATGTGTTTGCTCAACTCATCTCTTCCATTTCTCTGTCTTTCACAGTGTTTTACAGATAGAGATTGCAGAAAGTCAGTATTGTTCAGTTCTTTAGATATCATCATATCCAAAATGGCAAGCTTTCCCATTGGTTTTACTGAGAGTGCAGAGCAGTCCTTAGGTCCTGAACTCTCAGATGAGCTCACCATGGCCCTTGCTGCAGGGGAGTGGTGGGCTATTATGGAGGTTTCAAGTCCCATCTCTGAGGAGCCAGAGTATTGCGACTTCACCTGGCCTCCACGCCCCATATCCCTGAAGTCGACGAAGCAGTGGAGCCAAAACAAGACACAGGGAGCTCCTGTGCCCACCAGGTCCCAACAGGAATCACCTGTGGCTCTTGGGTCCCCACAGAAAGCACCTGTGCCCACTGGGTTTCCACTAGGACCACCTGTGCCCAAGTCTCAAGATTGGCGAAATCTAAATTTCTCTGAGCCTCTTAAGCAGGAGTGGCTGCATCAGCAGAGAAAGTGGAGGCAGAAAAAGACACAGGAAGCACCAGTGGCTGTTGGGTCCCCACAGAAAGCACCTGTGCCCACTGGGTCTCCACTAGGACCACCTGTGCCCCAGTCTCAAGATTGGCGAAATCTAAAGTTCTCTGAGCCTCTTAAGCAGGAGCGGCTGTATCAGCAGAGAAAGTGGAGGCAGAAAAAGACACAGGAAGCACCAGTGGCTGTTGGGTCCCCACAGAAAGCACCTGTGCCCACTGGGTCTCCACTAGGACCACCTGTGCCCCAGTCTCAAGATTGGCGAAATCTAAAGTTCTCTGAGCCTCTTAAGCAGGAGCAGCTGCATCAGCAGAGAAAGTGGAGCCAGAAAAAGACACAGGAAGCACCAGTGGCTGTTGGGTCCCCACAGAAAGCACCTGTGCCCACAGGGTCTCCACTAGGACCACCTGTGCCCCAGTCTCAAGATTGGCGAAATCTAAAGTTCTCTGAGCCTCTTAAGCAGGAGCGGCTGCATCAGCAGAGAAAGTGGAGGCAGAAAAAGACACAGGAAGCACCAGTGGCTGTTGGGTCCCCACAGAAAGCACCTGTGCCCATAGGGTCTCCACAGGGAGCACCTGTGCTCAAGTCTCTACAGATACCATCTGTGCCTGCCCCAAAGCCTCTGAGAGGGAAGCTGCTGCAGAGGAGGCCTCAAGCGTCTTCTCAAGCGAATCCACAGGAAGCGGTAGTGCCCTCTGGGGCTCCGAAGGGAGAAGATATGGCCCCAAGGATCCCAAAAGGTATACTTGTGCATTCGGGGACCACACAGGGATCACTTGTACCTTCAGATTCCCCCAAACTGGGAGAAAGCCTCAAGATCCCTAAAAAGCAGAGGCAGAAGCAGAGGGAGCAGAATATCCCAAAGGGAGCTTCTGTAAGTCCCTTCCATCTCATTCCATCATCATTTTCAGATTTATTCAAACACAAACAAAAAAACATTGACTTCAAATATGCTTCTATGTTTTCTAGGTCCTCTATTCAAATCTTTTTATATATTATTTTAAAACTTTAGAAAGATATGTTTAGATTTAGTCTAACAAGCACTCATTAAACTGCCCAACATGATTATATTTGTTTCTTTAACAGGGCAATGTAGGTGTGTGTCAGCCACCTCCAAAAAATAAAATCTGTGTGGATATTAACAAGAAGGTGCAGCTGAATACTAAACCGAGGAGCCCGGATCGGATAAAGACTTCACACCTGGATCAGAGCAGCATTCCTCCCAGGTCCCAGATGAACCGGAAGAGAGCATTGGTAAGTTCCCTCCTTTTTTCAGATTTAAAAATATAAACACTTTAATAATTTAATACATGACTAGTATCATATTCTTTTCAGTGTATAGAACCCTCACATTGACATTGTAGAAATACACATGTATTATGATTTTCTCTAAGAATCACTCATTAAATCTGGTCAGTGTGACATGATATGTGTGTTCCTTCAACAGGACAATGCATGTGTGGACCAGTCACCTCCACAAAAAATGCCCCGCTTGGCAATCAAAGTCAAAGACCAGGAGTTGGAACCAGGCAGCTTTAAGAAATTGTGCTATATTTTTGCAGCATATTCATAAATTTTTGTAATGTTTTAAATGTTTAATATATATATATATATTGTTTTGGCCCATTTTGCATAATAAAAAATAAAATATAAACTGTGTTTTTGTTTATATATCCAGGACAACACATGAATTAACATGTTATATAAAAATGTGCATTTTAAGTCAAACTAGACTATTTTCATCTCCTGTCTCTGAGCTGATTAAATGTTAAAAAGAAGCTGCACACTAAGCCAAAGGACAACATTATAACAACATATATGATATTTTCTACATTCAATGAGCCTTTGTGGACTACCAGTTTAAATGTAGGTAATCCAACTTGATAATAAAAAAAAAAATAATAGGCTACATTTCAATTTTATTTGCTCAGAAAGGTGGTTAAGGTAGGTTTGCCAACCGTTCCGTTTAATACGGAATCGCACTGTAAAAACAAAACAAAAAAACTTAAAGGGGTGGTTCAGGATTTTGGACATTGGGCCTCATTTCCAAGTTAGCCTGGGTGTTATTTATCAGTGGAGACAGTTTAAAAAAAAATTCATCCAGTCCTTCCGAGTCAACGGTATCTGCTAACCTGCCATTAAAAACAGTTTTACCCACTCCACAGGACACCAAAGCAAAATATAGCTGCGAGCAGAGATGATGGGATGCAGAATGTCTAATTGAAGAGAATTGGCACTGTCTGGTTACTTCCGGTTTATGGACTGGCTGCAGTAACACGTATCTGTCCATGCGGGGGCGCTCGCAGGCGAGTGCACAATGAATGGGAGTCTATGGGGTTTCACCCCCAGAAATCCACTTTTCTCAGGATGTAATTTTTTGTCAAGTAATTTGAAAGTTGCATTCAAAAGGGAGGGCTAAGATAATACACTCTGCTGAAAATTGCATTTTTAAGTACAATTATCTGTTCTAAAAATCCGTTAAAAAGTGTGATGACGTCACATAATAGCAGAATGCTAGCGTGTTACGGCCAACAACGGCCTAACCTGTAAGAAATCGAAAGGACATAAGTACTCGTTCATTCGACTTTTGGCCTATAATCTATATTGAACTTGCGGAATCAACAATAAAATCTATGTTGATTCAACGACAAGCAGGAGAACGAGATACATTTAGCCGTTTAGCTCCATAGGCTCCCATTCATTCTGCACTCGCCCGCGATTTCTAATGGAACTGCAACCAATATGATACACAATGGGGCTAATAGGAAGTGCCAAGGCTCTCAGTTAGACGGGCTCTGACAATACTTATATCAATATTTTCAAAATAAATGCAGATTGAATAATTCCACTCAATAATAGGTTATTATTAACATGGATACTACATTGTTATTATTTAATAATAGTTATTTATTAAATACAACTTATTAAATAATAGTTACAAGAATAATATTTTAGATAATTTGTAATGATATTATATTTATTACACTTTCATCTATTCAAATGTAGAAAATATTTCCGATGAAGGTTTACATTACACAGCGGACTTGTCAGATATTCTAATTTCTAGCAGGAGTTTCCCAGAAATTCCCACTCACATCCTCTCATCAGACATGTCCATACATGCGCAGATGGGTTGACCAGATACTACTTCCGGTACTGTCACAGTCAGACTTTACAGTCAGAGACGAGGATTGGACAGTCACACCTCTACAAGCGTACGTGAAGACCATTTAAACCACATATTCCTATATAGAATAAAGATAAACTATTTAAAGATTTTCAAAGAAACTTTTGCTAATATAATGTATTATACCCAGCGGTCAAGTCCCTGCTTCCATCTGGTTTGACTGTTTTCTACTACAATACATCTGATGCAACATGGCAAGTACACATGTAAGTCGATGTCTCATTAGGACGATCACGAGATGTCTCCGGGACAGCCGTCGCCAACCAAATGTGATGACAGTAAGACCTTTAGGACACTTTTCTAACTCCTATTCAGGTAAGCAGGAACATGTAGAAGTAACGTTACGACCTGTAGTTTCACACCGGAGTTCAGAAGGCAACAGTCGCACCGCTCGCCTGGCAGTCGCTTTTGGATTTGGACTCGGAGGAGCTGCAGCCTTGTATTCATTAAGAAACGAGAACAATAAAGATGCCCTACAGAGCACAGTCTCGGTCAGAAATATGCTTATTGACAGCATATTACCTACTGTCCAATGTGCCTCTCCATTTAAACCTGACAGTCCGCGCTACAAGTACAATTTCATCGCGGATGTGGTTGAGAAGTCCACTCCTGCTGTAGTCTACATCGAGATCGTTGGGCGGTGAGTCTGTTCAAAAATACAATTAAACTGTACTAGCTCCATTGAAAACATCTTAAACTAGCCTAAAATGGTCTTAGCTGGTTTAAAAGGGTATCGCAGTCTGGGTAATATACCGGAGTAAAGATAGTTTGCGGTTTGATTTTCAGTTTTCGTTTCGCTGTGGTCCCGCAGTGCGGTGTCGTGGACATGCAAATAATATCTCATGTCGTTATTCATGATTTGTGAATTTGTGTAACGGTGTTTCTCCGGGTCAAAATCCAAAAAAAATTTATTATTATTATTTTTTTTAAAATTGGGTATAGCTCCAAAAGTCGGTCACTTAGGAGTCTGAACCCAGTGTCACCTTGACATGCTCGATTTGTGAATTTTTTCACAGCAAAGCTCTTGTCTGTAAAACGTTCGCTAACTCCGGTAGACAGGAATGTTGAAAATAGTCGTTTTTCATGTTTAAACAATGTATATTTACAATTTATAATAAACACACACACTGCTGGATTACAAAAACACTTGTTTTAGATTGAACCTGATTTGTGAAAACTTTCACAGGTCAGTTTGGGTCAGTTAACCCTTCCCTGAGTGGTTAACTAGGTCATTCTGATTTGTGAAAACTTTCACAGATCAGTTTGGGTCAGTTAACCCTTCCCTGAGTGGTTAACTTGGTCATTCTGATTTGTGAAAACTTTCACAGATCAGTTTGGGTCAGTTAACCATTCCCTGAGTGGTTAACTTGGTCATTCTGATTTGTGAAAACTTTCACAGATAAGTTTGGGTCAGTTAACCCTTCCCTGAGTGGTTAACTAGGTCATTTTGATTTGTGAAAACTTTCACAGCTCAGTTTGGGCCAGTTAACCCTTCCCTGAGTGGTTAACTTGGTCATTCTGATTTGTGAAAACTTTCACAGATAGGTTTGGGTCAGTTAACCCTTTCCTGAGTGGTTAACTTGGTCATTCTGATTTGTGAAAACTTTCACAGCTCAGTTTGGGTCAAGTTAACCCTTCCCTGAGTGGTTAACTTGGTCATTCTGATTTGTGAAAACCTTCACAGATCAGTTTGGGTCAGATAACCCTTCCCTGAGTGGTTAACTTGGTCATTCTGATTCCCTGAGTGGTTAACTAGGTCGTTCTGATTTGTGAAAACCTTCACAGGTCAGTTTGGGGCAGTTAACCCTTCCCTGAGTCGGTAACTAGGTCATTCTGATTTGTGAAAACTTTCACAGATCAGTTTGGGTCAGTTAACCCTTCCCTGAGTGGTTAACTTGGTCATTCTGATTTGTGAAAACTTTCACAGATCAGTTTGGGTCAGATAACCCTTCCCTGAGTGGTTAACTTGGTCATTCTGATTTGTGAAAACTTTCACAGATCAGTTTGGGTCAGATAACCCTTCCCTGAGTGGTTAACTTGGTCATTCTGATTTGTGAAAACTTTCACAGATCAGTTTGGGTCAGTTAACCATTCCCTGAGTGGTTAACTTGGTCATTCTGATTTGTGAAAACCTTTCAGAGGTCAGTTTGGGTCAGTTAACCCTTCCCTGAGTGGTTAACTTGGTCAGAAAGGTTTCACAAATCAGAATGACCAAGTTAACCACTCAGGGAAGGGTTAACTGACCCAAACTGATCTGTGAAAGTTTTCACAAATCAGAATGACCAAGTTACCGACTCAGGGAATCAGAATGACCAAGTTAACCACTCAGGGAAGGGTTAACTGACCCAGTTAACCACTGACCTAGTTAACCACTCAGGGAAGGGTTAACTGCCCCAAACTGACCTGTGAAGGTTTTCACAAATCAGAATGACCTAGTTACCGACTCAGGGAATCAGAATGACCAAGTTAACCACTCAGGGAAGGGTTAACTGGCCCAAACTGACCTGTGAAAGTTTTGACAAATCAGAATGACCTAGTTACCGACTCAGGGAAGGGTTAACTGACCCAAACTGATCTGTGAAAGTTTTCACAAATCAGAATGACCTAGTTAACCACCCAGGGAAGGGTTAACTGCCCCAAACTGACCTGTGAAGGTTTTCACAAATCAGAACGACCTAGTTAACCACTCAGGGAAGGGTTAACTGACCCAAACTGATCTGTGAAAGTTTTCACAAATCAGAATGACCTAGTTAACCACTCAGGGAAGGGTTAACTGACCCAAACTGATCTGTGAAAGTTTTCACAAATCAGAATGACCTAGTTAACCACTCAGGGAATGGTTAACTGACCCAAACTGACCTCTGAAATTTTTCACAAATCAGAATGACCTAGTTAACCACTCAGGGAAGGGTTAACTGACCCAAACTGACCTCTGAAAGTTTTCAAAAATCAGAATGATCAAGTTAACCACTCAGGGAATGGTTAACTGACCCAAACTGATCTGTGAAAGTTTTCACAAATCAGAATGACCAAGTTAACCACTCAGGGAAGGGTTATCTGACCCAAACTGATCTGTGAAAGTTTTCACAAATCAGAATGACCAAGTTAACCACTCAGGGAAGGGTTAACTTGACCCAAACTGAGCTGTGAAAGTTTTCACAAATCAGAATGACCTAGTTAACCACTCAGGGAAGGTTTAACTGACCCAAACTGACCTCTGAAAGGTTTCACAAATCAGAATGACCAAGTTAACCACTCAGGGAAGGGTTAACTGACCCAAACTGATCTGTGAAAGTTTTCACAAATCAGGTTCAATCTAAAACAAGTGTTTTTCTAATCCAGCAGTGTGTGTGTTTATTATAAATTGTAAATATACATTGTTTAAACATGAAAAACGCCTATTTTCAACATTCCTGTCTACCGGACTTAGCGAACGTTTTACAGACAAGAGCTTTGCTGTGAAAAAATTCACAAATCGAGCATGTCAAGGTGACACTGGGTTCAGACTCCTAAGTGACCGACTTTTGGAGCTATACCCAATTAAAAAAAAAAAAAAAAAATTTGGGGGGGGGATTTTGACCCGGAGAAACACCGTTACACAAATTCACAAATCATGAATAACGACATGAGATATTATTTGCATGTCCACGACACCGCACTGCGGGACCACAGCGAAACGAAAACTGAAAATCAAACCGCAAACTATCTTTACTCCGGTGTTAAACCGGGTCTCCTACCGTGGTCAAGCTGCTGAAAAATTACCCAAGCCTTTCTTTCTTAAAGGGGAAAGTTTACCCAAAAAATGAAAATGATGTCATTAATTACTCAACCTCATGTCGTTCCAATCTTTCGTTCATATTTGGAACACAAATGAAGATCTTCTTGATGAAATCTGAGAGCTTTCTGTCCCTCCATTGACAGCTATGCAACTACCCCTGTGATGCTTCCAAAAGGTAAAAGACATCATAAAACTAATCCATATGAATTAAGTGGTCCATAATTTTCTGAAGAGACACGATCGCTTTATATGATGTACAGATTTTATTTAGGCTTTTATTTACATATGAACATTGATCAGCGAAACAGAAGCTCAACTGAACCTGCTTGATAGGAGCACACACCTCATTGGTTCTTGCTGAAGCTCAAGAGAACGAGAACAAACCTCATTGGTTCTTGCTGAAGCTCAAACTGCTGTGTAACAACGAGAATTAACCTCATTGGTTCTTGCACATCAAGCGAACATGCTTGAACTTCCCTTTACCTCAACTGATGTGTGACTTGATGAATGTTTATATGTGACTAAAATCCTAAATTCAATCTGTTCATCATATAGAGCGATCATGTCACGCTCAATTCATATGTATTAGTTTTACCATCTCTTTATGCACTTTTTGAAACGTCAAACTGTCTATGGAGGGACAGAAACTCTCAGATTTCATCAAAAAGATCTTCATTTATGTTCTGAATATCAACGAAAGTCTCACGGGTTTGGAACGACGTGAGGGTGGTTAATTAATGACATAATTTTCATTTTTGGATGAACTAACTCGTTAAACTAGCCAACAGACCAGACAGCCTGACTTGACATGGTCGAGCAAACCAGTTTAGGCTCGTTCAAGTTGTTTTTCTCAACAGGGAACTTTTGAATCTTTAACGTGTAGATTGATTCTTTGCGTCTTATATTAAATACTGGTTCTTTATAGACACCCCTTTTCTGGTCGTGAGGTGCCCATCTCGAATGGCTCCGGCTTCATCATAAGTAGTGATGGCCTGATAGTGACCAATGCCCATGTGGTTGCCAACAAGCGTGGCGTCCGTGTCAAACTGACCAATGGAGAGACTTACAATGCCACAGTCCAGGATGTAGACCAGGCTGCAGACATCGCCACCATCAAAATCAACGCTAAGGTACCATTTAGCTCATCAAAGGCATACATGACATTTTGAAATATATGAAAATAGAAAACAGTTATTTTGAATTGTAATAATAATGCAGCCATGGTGAGCATAATAAACTTCTTTCAAAACCTTTTCAATGGTAGTGTATGTGTGTGTGTTTGAACCTACTCAGTATGCGATTTTGGACACATCAATACTCTCTGTCTCTCATCCCAGCATCCCCTCCCCACGCTGCGTCTTGGTCAGTCGACTGATGTGCGTCAGGGTGAGTTTGTGGTTGCCATGGGGAGCCCCTTTTCTCTTAAAAACACAATCACATCTGGAATCGTCAGCTCTGCCCAGAGAGGTGGTAAAGAACTCGGCCTGTCCAACTCCAACATAGACTACATCCAGACTGATGCTACCATAGATGTAAGCGCACAGGAAATGGCATTGGAGGATTTGGGTGTAATTGCATGTGAACGCTATATTTGTGTCATTACAATTATTTCATTAATCGAATAATAAATATATTGCATCGTTCAGTTGTTAATGTCTATTTTACAGTTTGGAAATTCAGGAGGTCCCCTTATAAACCTGGTGAGTCACTGACATTTACATAACATACTGCTTGTGCCTTTTGGATTTAAGAACGAGGAAGTTGAGGCGTTTCATTTCGCTTATCAAATTTTATTTTCAGTTCATTTGACTTATAATAGAAGAACAAATATAAACAACAAGAACAAAAACCTGATCAATTTATCTGAGAACCTGGTCACATGTTAGCCTCATGGAATGAAATGACGTTTTATGTTTGTAACCTTCAGGATGGGGAGGTCATCGGAATTAATACCATGAAAGTGACTGCAGGGATTTCCTTTGCTATTCCCTCAGACAGAGTCCGCCTCTTCCTTGAGCGTGCTGCAGACAAGCAGAGTAAGAGTGACCCTTGACCTCAGAGGTTCTTGTTATCATTGATTTTGAGCTCATTGACTGTTTTTGATATGTATCTGTTGTTTCCAGAGTCCTGGTTTGGAGAATCGGGATCAAAACGGCGTTACATTGGAGTGATGATGTTGACTTTGACCCCCAGGTAACAAACTGTTTTTTTTTTTAAAGGCCCCGATATACTCACGGCGAAGTTCTTTTTTCGTTCTTTACTTGGGGGTAAAAAGAAGGTTGAAATACGTGATATACTGTTAGCAAACATCCCACACCGCCCACACTGCTGAGAGCGACGGTTAGATGAATATGTAAATATAAATGAGAAATCAGTTAGCATTTTTTTTTTAAAGAAAGCATAAGAAAAGCATCTGATGGAAGCGATTTGGATATGTTTGCCTGAGCTCTGCAATTCGGCACTCTAGTAAAGTCACGTCACATTTATTTATATAGCACTTTATACAAAATATTGCTTAAAAGCACACAGCTCTACAGTATTAAACATGAAAAACAGTGTGTCTCATTTCATCAGAAGTACCACTTCATTGTCTACTTTAAAGTGACTTTCCAGTGTGTTTGTGTTTTTACCCATGGACGTCTGACCTCGACAGACTGAACAGAAGAAGTGAACCGGAAAAAATTTCCTCAAGAGAAAGAAGGTGGAGCCCCTGCTCACATACTGATTATGTAATCGCCACAGACCAATGGTAGAACAAAGGGGTTTACCGACATTTTCTGGAAAGTTCGCTTTGGCAAGCCTTTTCGAGCTCTTGAAAGGAACACAAAATGAACTTAATTTTGCCCTGATTTTATTCGAAATGACGTCACACCAATTCATTCTTCTATTTAGCTTTATATCAGCGCCTGAAGATTTCCACGTCAAAGAAGGCGGGCCCTCAGTGTCAAATCTACCTATTACTTAATCGATAGTTGTTCGAAAGGTGTTTACAAACCATTGGCAAGCTGTTCCAAACTCCAGAAACAAACTTTGCTTGGCCTGATTTTGTTTGAATTGACAGTAGTTGGTTCTTTGATTTCGCTTGAAGTATATTGGGTCCTTAAGTGTTTGCGAGATGGTCACCGAGTCAAGTGACTTTTTCAAACTTTAAATGGTGTCTTTTTCTCCCCTCAGTATAATCGAAGAGTTGAAGATGCGTGACGTGTCCTTTCCTGATGTTTCTCATGGAGTTCTTATCCACCGTGTTATTATAGGATCTCCGGCCAGTAGGTAAGCAGCAATGGTCTGACCCCACTGCACTCTTCTCAGTCTGTTGATAGAGGCCTCCTATTGGTGATGTCATTTCCTGTTTCACAGAGCCGGAATGAAACCAGGGGATGTTATTGTTGAGGTAAACGGGGTAAAGGTGAACACGTCAGAGGAGATCTATAACGCTGTGAGGACAAGTGACAGCTTAAACGCGGTGGTCCGCCGGCGTGAAGACCTACTTATGCTGAACATGACCCCAGAGTCCACAGAGTGACATTATGTGAAGATTATGCATTTAAAAAAGAGAGTAAGAAATATTGCTATTGCTGAGGATAGATGGTGAGAAATGAGAAGTAAGAGATAATTTGAGAATCCATGTGAGAAAAAATTATTATTGTAAATGATTTAAGAAGGTAATGACTAGACTGAACAGTCTAGTTTGTTTAGCAAAGCTGTACATTCATGTAGTTGAAATCTTTTAATTGTGCAGGTTTCTGGACGTATGTGAATTCGTGTGGATGACTGAAAACCGCACTGGATTAATCTCGGTATCCCCGGAAGCTACACTGTATCAGTATCGTTTTTAAAGGAAAACCACTAATTATTCGTTTTTGGGATTGTCAAAAGAATCAATGAACATTTGACCTCCCTAATAAAAGTGGGTGCTATTACGACATTGCAGATGTTTTGAATTTATCTCATTTTCCAACATTTGTATTTTAATACATTTCAAAAACAGCTGTGATTTTGCAGGAAAACATTGGAATATCATAGTATTTGGCTCATCTCCATTATATACTCAAAGTAATCAACTCCCACTGACTAATTTTGATATGTGGAGTTCTAGAATCTTCAGTTCAGATGTCTTTAGAATTGTTACCCTGCGTCCTGCTTTGTGGTTACTGAATTTTCCGTTCTGAATGTAGAGCTCATGTGCATGTAACCAAATAAGAGTTTGATCCAGAAAATTAATATCAACTTGTTAAGCCGCTCACACACAGCTTTCAAAGTTGTGTGATGAACCGTTTTCACATTTCCAGAAGTCAGACCGGAGACTAGAGCAAATATATATTTTTTTGTAGGCACTATCCCTATTTACTACAATAGCAATGGCAAAAATCCATGATAGCGTTTTTCAAGACTTTCCCAAAGAGGGAAATAATATGGAAAGATTGATTAGCAGTCAGAAGAGAGAATAAAGTGTCAAATTTGACATCATTCCCTCAACCATTTTATTAGAAACCCTCGCAGCAGCGTTAATAAACTGCCACGGTAATTTACTGCCAAGTTTATATAACACAAAGTAGCATTATAAATGTATAGTTTTATTTAATGAAAATATAGAAAACTTTACTAGATTTTGGATGGTGAAAACTGGAAAAGTGTCATCACAATGCTGTTCTTTTCACTCTACACAACTGTCATCGCTGATGTGAGTTCCAGTCAAAACACATTTCAGAATTCTGAGATATAAACTCGAAAGTTGAGAAAAAGTCAGAATTGTGAGATTAAAGTCACAATTACAAGCTTCCGCACGTTTGTAAAGTAAGGTGACTAATAATGTATTATGACAATTTATGTTTATTGGCTCATGAAACTTGAACATATTTGTATTACAAATTGTTATACTTCAAATACTTTATTTTTCATCTTTAAAAGTTGCCTATGACATGAAAGGGTTCATTTTACTGTAGCTAAACACATGAATGCATAAACAGGACATTGTGGGGAAGAAAACGTCACTGAAGCTTTAACAAGTCATACATAAAAGGCCATTTGAAAGTAAAACAGGATCCTACATTGAGTCAGAGCTTTGAAGCATAACATACATTCACACTTAGCAACAGCTTTTAAACACGAATGCTCATCTGGAATACGAAACATTCAAGTACTTTTAACTCACAGAGACAGCAGCACATTGGCTGTGATGCATCAACAAGGCTTTTTAAACCTTTAAGAAAATAAGCACCTGGTTGCGGTACCTGTACCACTGCACGCCTGAGGCAAATGAATCTTCACACTACTTAAGCCAGACTCAGTGGCCCAGAGTGTCTTTTGGAGTTCTGTTTTTGGTAATGTCAACACAATTATACTCTGTGTTAAAACACTGGATATTGTAGATTTGAGGGTTTCTGTAACTTGCAATGTGAGACGATAATTAGTTTATGGCTGGTTTGAATGAATAAATATTTTACTCTGGATTAACCTACAATGTTAGATTGTCTCAATATGCTAATTAGTTCAATCTGGTGACATGATTACGAGATCTGGTTGTTAAGTTGTCCTGGGTATTTCTCAAACTTCTTCTCAGCCTCCTCACTGAAAGCGTCACCTGAAACGAAGACATGGAAAAAGAAATCTTTCAGTATTTGACATTCAATGGGAACACTTTGACAATATTCAGAATAGCATACTACCATATTCTCTTACTATCTTCAGTGTGTAACCTGTATTGCTACAACAGAGTACACACTTGAACTGGAATTGATATCAACCACAATCTTTTTCTTGAATCATTATTTCATCAGACTGCCAAGAAAGTTTGTCAAAATGCGAAATAACAGTTTAATTCCAAGATGATAATATGACTACACTCTCTGAATTACATACGATGTTATTGCATCACGTGAGGTCACGTGACATGAATATAGAACACTACTGTATAAAAAGGTTGCATAATTCTGTTTCTTATCCTACTTTTAAAAGTATATATTGAAAAGAATTCAGTAAGTTGCAAGTGACAGTAGTATTCTCTTCCAAACATAGGCATTTTCTAGTAATTTTGAGGCTTTGTTTGCATTCGTTTCTCACCAATATGGCAATTATGGACCCAGATCCTGTGACCGTCATATTTGCAGTTACATTTCATGGCATTGTTTGTGAAATCACTCTCAGCAACCTCATAGTTAGGATTTATGACAACCTAGGAGAAAAAGCAAGCAAAAACAAGTCTGGATACTCTTGATTTAATAAAAGACGAGTTTTGGGGATTGGGACAATGATCTGCACCCATTTTCTGACCTGAAGGATATAATTTCCTGGTTTGACATCAGTAATGTCGATCCACTGGCAATCAATGTCATGGCGATACAAATCCCAGCATCCCACGGTGATGCCCTGCTCACCAAAGTTAGCACACTCATATCTCTTGGAAACACCTAGAATTAGGAATAATATGATAATGTGTCTAAATAAACAGAGCTGACTGTAAATGGTGTTTTTGGATGAGTGTGATTTACCCTCTTCACAATCAGTGTCCTCCAGGCAGAAGCTGGCTTTGTGTCCTTCTGCCACTTTAGTGCCATTGGCAGACATCAGGTCATAGTGTGTGAAGATGTCCATACTGTGATAATGCCTGTGGAGTCACACACACACACACACACACATATCAAACATATATAAACTTGTCCAATATCCATAACCCATCAGAACTGACTGAAAAGAAACCAGCTAGAAAGCAGCAGTGGCTGTTGTGTTGTCGGTCAATTTAACCCACACTTGATAGTTAAACTGCTTCAAACACTTAATAAACAATTTGTTTTGGTGAAACATTAAATGCAAAGTCAAACAGTAAATGAGCTGTTTCTTCATCTAATTGATTTGACAAAAAGTCTGTGAAATTATGTTTTTGGTTATTCGTTTTTTTGGATCGCAATTACTAGTCTGTTGCAGCGCTTAAAAGAAGTGTGATAAACCCATTTTACTCTCACAAAGGTTTGAGAACCAGACATAAAAAGGCATAGGCTATTTACTTGACTATTTACACCAACTACAAATAGCCTATTGATAAATACTATTTACACTATTGACTATTTACACCAATTACAAATAGCCTATTGATAAATACTATTTACACTATGTACAAATGTTAGATACTATTTATACTTAGTTGTAACACCTCAGTGTGTAAATAGCCACCACAAGTAAACATAACAAAATAAAAACATCAAGGAAATCTTTTCAATTTGTGTCTGCAGCTAATTTTGCTGCAGACATAACATTTACCCCACAATTTTTTATATATTTTTTTATTTGGGATATTTTTCATCTCAAATCATTTCATTGACATGTTACAATAGTGGTTTTCTGTTTTTCCATGAATCCTTAGTTCTTTTTTTTTTTTTGGTAGTTTTGATTTAGCCAAATGTATGGAATGTATGTTTCTGCCACGGAATTAAAAATAGAAAAGGTAATAGCAATTTTTATTTCACAATATAGATATATCCTCTCAATTGAGAGAGAAAAGTCAGAATTGCATGTTTATTTCTTGCAATTCTGAGGAAAAAAAATCTGAATTGTAAATTATAAACTTGAAATTGCAAGTTATAAAGTCAGAATTGTGAAATCAAAAGTCGCAATTACCCTTTTTATTATTTTATTCTGTGGCAGAAACAATCTTTCATACAAATTGCATGGAAACCAATCGGGGGTCAGTTTGACCCGCAACACAAAAGGCGTAGCCAGATGTTCAACACAACATGAATAACCGTTATTTTACTCTATTGAAAAAAGACATTTTAACAGTACGGTTACCCGTGACAAGCGTGCCACACCCACGAGTGACGACCAGCTTTGGGCCTGAAGTCAGCTCGTCCGATGTTGTGTATCTGAGAGGAGAAGCGGAGCAGGCGGCGATGACCGTAAGGCCAGTTAGCTTTAGCAGCGCTCTTGGACAGACAGTCCTCCTCTGCAGCACAGTACAGCATGTGTAACGGCCGGTCCTCTATATACGTCGTCTGCTGCACTAATGGTGCGTTCAGCACTAGATCTGATGCAGCTGGGGAAATAAACGTGTACATATCAAGATCAAGCTAAAACATGAAAACTCTGTAACGGCATGCTGGCAATTTAAAACGAAAGTTCAAAGATGAAAATAAATATATATTTTTGATTTAGAGTTTTGTTTCTATTTTTATGGCATTGCATGTTGGAAACTGAACTGGATTTCTGAGGTTTTAATGTCTGAACAAACAGTTTTGCTCAAAGTACAACAGTTAAGAAAATGATATGTTGTCTCATTTGTATACATAATCCAGACAGGTGTAAGTCATTTGAAGTCAAGCCTTTGCCATGTGAGGTTCACTAATTACAGCCTAGTCCTCAGAGAAAGATAAACAAGACTGACCACAGCTTTAGGTCTGGCATCAGCAGCAGACTGACCGTCTGAGAGGTGAGAATTCCAGTCATCCATAAAAAATATAATGACTGAATGTACTACTCAGAACTAGATTCTGAATATGAGATTGCTTTTATACAACAGTTCCAGAAACCAGAAGTTTATACTGAGTAACCTACATTTTCGACACAATATTGCCAATTACTTAGTCTATTTTTGTGCATTTCCGAGCAACACGCAGTAGTGGTGTTTCGATCCTATAATGAATCAGGGTTTTTAAACAAATCAGTTGAGAAAATGATTCAGTGACTCACTCAAAATGGCATACTAAGTAGGTACTACATTTAATTAAGAACCTACTTGGAGGCTGTTAATAAAAGTATGTTCTCTTTCATAGGTTCACTCAACGCTGCGGAAAGCGCAGTGGGATATCCTCTGGATGTGCCGATTGCCTGAAGCCCTATAGAATCACGCCAATTCATTGGCTGATGGCGCTCGCGCAAAGCTGGCTCCGCCCCGACGCTCTTACGTCGTAGCATGATGAACGCGCGCGCGCCATC